TACAGAGCTAGGAGGAGATCATCCAGAGGTAAGGCTAGAGAAGCTATCAGGCCTAATTGTGCAAAGTCTTGTTGACTAAGACAAAGTTGTGAGACTTTGGAAAGGATTTTGAAATCCAGTCTATGCTTGTATTTTAATTTTAATCAAATATTATTACTTTAATTATACATATTTATGGGGAACATCATGGAACTTCAATACATGCATTTCAGTGTATACCAATCAAATCAGGGTAAATAACCCTGATGAAAAATGTTTTGAGATTTGACCTCATCTCTTCTTGCTAGACATAAATTATATAATAGGGAGTATTATATAAGGCTGGGAGTGTTGTTCAATGGTAGAACAGTTTCCTAACATGCATGAGGCCCTGGGTTCAGTCTCCAATCCTACATAATTAAATATACATATTAGGCTACTGTGAACTATATAGTTCTATACTGTACTGTAGAAACCTTGAACTTTTTACTTCTAACAGCACTTAACTACATTCTAGTATTTGTTATCCAACCTCCTTCTATACTTTCCATCATCCTTCTCAACTTCTAGTAATCACTAATATATAAATAAATCAACTCTTTTTGCCATCCACCTATGAAAGAGAAAATTTAGTATTAACTTTTTGTCTGACTTATTTGACTTAAAACAATGCCCTCCTGTTCCAGTTCCTTCTAATTTTGTTATAAATGATAGGACACCATTCTTTTTATGAATTAATAAAATGCAATTGTGTACACAGTGTGTATACATTCCATTATTCATTCATCCATTAAAAGACAGTGAGGCTGAATCCATATCTTAGCTATTAGGAAAAGTATAGCAATAAATATGGTTGGGCAAGTATTGCTTTGATATGCTGAAAACATTTCCTTTGGATACTTTTCCAGAAGCAGAATAACTAAATTATATAAGAGATCTATTTTTAGTTTTTCGGGGGAACTTGAATAATGTTCTTCACAATGGCTATTCTAATTTACTAAATCATCAAAAATATATAAGAATTTTGTTCCTCCAGCTCTTTCCTAGCATTTATTATCTTTTTGATAGTGGCCATTCTAATTGTGGAAAGATGACATCTCATTGTAGTTTGATTTGCATATACCCAACAGCTAAATATGGTGAAATTTTTTCTTTAATAAATTTGTTAGAAATTTTTTTTAATTTAAATTTTTTTAATTTAAATTTGTTAGAAATTTTTTTTTAAAAATTTAACTTTATTAGTTTGAGAAATGTTAATTTATATTATTTGTCCATTTTTAATTGGATAAAGAAACCACAATAACGACTGAGGATGTAGCTCATTGGAAGAAGATTTGCCTAGCATGTGTGAGGCCATCAATTTGATCACCATCACAGGGAGAAAAAGTAATATCAAGAAAATAAGTAATCCAATTATGTTTTATTTTTAGGAGTCATTCAATAGTATTTTCTATTCTTACTTCTACCAATATTTTATGTAGAAATCACAATTATAAATGAATGAGGAATGACATGAAAAAATAACACTGATATATAAGTTTGAGTACTTAATATTCTACACCCAATTCTCCAAAGGATTAACTTTGGTATTTCACTTGTGGCTGAGCTTTTCTCTCATCCATGTTCTCTTCCCATACTTTAGGAAACTAAGCCTCAGAGATCCTTGTATTTAATTAAGTTCTAAGATGTAAATTCTATTCACTTTTAAGTTGATGTATGTTACCAAGTAAATAAAACAGATATATAAAGATGAGAGATGGATGGTCATTACCCTGAATACCTAATTAGGTCTACTAGATAACTCTAATTCTACTATGTTCCATATACCAATAAAAACAGTGTTCTACGTTATTTAGATTATAGATAACAGCTGGACTGTGTCTATTTATAGAACATTAGGACACTTTTTTATATAAAATAATCTGCTTCTAAAAATATTAAACTACATTTTCCATTATAAGTTATATGTATTTGATGCAAATTACTTCCTCTTTGCACAGTTAAAATATGTCTTCATTCCAGTTTGCACTTTCTTCTTCTCCTCAAAATTCATCATATCCTTTGAGTTATAAAATATTAAGTTGATGTTCCAAACATTTCTGTTATTTGTGGTGCTTCTGTCCTGAGGATCAGATCAAACACTTTTTTCTAATGTCTACTGAATGTTTAGTCTCATTAGCAGTTTTGAGAACTCCCTCAAAAACAGGGTGGGCTTCCTGTATGAGGTTTAGATTAAATGCTATCACTTTCAGAAGTTCCTATCTAGGCTCCAGGAGAGAAAGTTGTACTATTTTGTCCCTTGAGAAAGCTCTCCTAATGATTAGTTTGTACAGTGTTTGCCAATTGCCTTATAATTTTTTTCAGTATTATTACCACAAACAGTGTCCTAGTTATTTCCTTTATTTTCCTCATCATATAGCTTCCTGTAGTTGAGCCCATGGCTGACTTCATTATTATCCTCTGCATGCTCATTTGGCCCATATATGTCAATGGCCATTGGATAAGAAGTCAAAATTAATTAATTTTTATATTGTTTCAGGGAATCTACACAAGATAGTCTTCAATATATACTGAGGCAAAGTATCAAATTTTGGCTGAAGAAAAGAAATGTTGCTGATTTTTTAATGCATTCATAAGATGTGATCCTGTCCTCTTTTCCTAATATGAATGTAAGAACGGTATATGTTTCTATATTTCTCTGTAAGATTTTCAACTACTTTGCTATCATGATTGTCCAAAGAATGTGTTTTGACTGATCTAACATGTCAAAAATTTGAATCCAAATGTAAATAAATGTCTAAAGCAATAAAACACCTCTTTCCTTAAAAATTGAATTAGGTCTTTGCTAAGAATTGTATCATTGCTCATTTACTTTATCAGGAGAATAAACTTCATTAATAGTATGAGACACGGCATCTTGAACACAGTAAATACTTAGCTTACACTTGTGGACAATGTTGATGACTTTATATCATGAGGAAATAAACACCTAAACTACAGTCAAATATTAGACAGTCTTCTATCCTGTGTCTTCCTTTTTGGGTTCATACTTTGAGGATGACCTTTAAAACCAGGTACCGCAAATATAATATAAATATATTTGTACTGCTGGAGAACTCGGAGCAGTTTCTTCTCATTCAGAAAAATAGTTTCTTTTTATCCACTGTGTTTAATATAAATACAATTTCCAGAGTACATAAAAATCTCTGTTTTAGTTTATAGAATGTAATCAACCTTTTTATTGACTGTTGTCATTTGCAAAATGCAATAAGCCTGACCCATTGACAGTCATGGGTTAATGTATGGATCAATCTTGTTCGGTGGAAATTCATTTATGGAGGAAATGAGCATTTCTGATCAAATTAAAAAGAAGAAGATCATTTGTCTTGAATTTTTAAGCACGTCAAGGGCATCCAATAAATTGTATTCTGTCACTTAAAGTTTTATACAGAGCCTTTGAATTTCAGAATAATGTAACTACTTTCACCTTATTTTGATACATTTTTGCAATTGGATCTGCTAAAATGAATAATCCACACTAATTATCAGCTTGTCAGCAATTGTCATAGCTTTAAACATGAAGATAAAGCAGAAAGTTCATGTTTTTAATGTTATCTACCAAAAATTAATTCTTTGATATAAAGAAAAAAAAAAAAAAGCTTGCAACCCTCCCAACCAACAGGGGCTGTTCAGTTCCCATTATTCTTCATGATAAAACAAACAAAAAATTGTAGTCATATTAATCTTCTCTAATCTTATAAACATGTAGTTGAATTAACATTTTATATAACAATGTAATTAGTGACAGCTTAAAATAGTGTAAATAAAAAGAATATGAAAGAGACATTTTTCTAAAGGTCTATGCAAAGGAGGATGTTGGAAGCAAGTTTAGGTTAACATAAAAGGGCTTAACAAGATAATTACTATGAAATGTTTAGGCAAAAATTTAATGCTTTGTATTATCTTGGTGTTTCTTGTTAAATTACAAATGTAATGCTTGGGTCTCCTCATAATTCGAAACATTTAATGTCATTTACATAGATGTTATGTTATACTGTATTGGCTGATATACAAGAGTAAATATATAAGATGATTTATAATTTTTATTTTCTATAATTGCTCTCTCAAATTCTTTTGGTGATAGTTATTGGCCATTTTCTGTTAATGCCTTAACCATCTCCAAAGACTTATGATGATCTTTCTTTTCTGACCTTTCAGCTCTGGAAAGCAATCTCTAGCTTTCTCTAGCTCCATAGGATCTTGTGCATCTTTAGACACCAACCAACCTCACATTCTCTTCAAGTCTTATTCCTTAATCTTGGAGCAGGTTACCTGAATACAACCTCCTCTAATTATTTTACCATATTCTTAGTTAATACTAGTCAATTTATCAATGATATTAATACATTTAGTATCTAAATAGTCATTAAAATACCCGATATAGTTTTGTCAAATGCTGTTCCCTAACTATATTCATGTGCTGTGGTCATTTTTAATAAAGTATTGTGGTCTAAAGCTGTATTTTAATAGAGACTTTTTTTTAGCAAGGGAAGTCCATTTTAGTGTTAATGGAGTTCAGACTAGTTCAATTTGCTGAGGAAGCAGATTCATCCTCCTTGAACATACAATACTCTGAGCCCACCCTGGAAGTAGTGCTGTGTCCTTGGGCAAGACAGGAATTCTGCCAAGACTCTGACAGTATTAAGCAATTCTTCTACTGGCATCCTCCTTCCAAATGCATTAAACATTAAAGGACAATGCATTAAGTGACTTGTACCTTGGTATGGATCAATTTATTAGAATGCTTTTCTCCTGAAAGGAAGGGCTGATGGTACAAGTGATGGATAACAAGAAGGGTAGAGAGAAAGCCGAGCAAAGTGCAGTGTGTTCAGAGAAGGAGAGAGGCATTGGAGACTTTTACAAAGCCCATTCTCATCACATCTTACTCTATTATTTCCTGTATTTCAAATACAATGAAAAAAACAATTATCATGACAATAATCTTTGATAACAATCTTTACCACAGATCTGGGTATGCAGAAACAAGTGGTGCCAGGTTCATTTTCTATGCACATCCTGGGAGTACATGAGTGGGGAATGTACTCAAGTTCCTTCTCACAGTGACGTCCAGACCATCCTGTTAAATAAAACCCCAAACAGACATTTAATTTTCAACCATAATAGCAGTGGTGACAGCTTATCTGTATTGGTATTTACTATCTGTGAAACTGGCCTAAGTATTTTATACAGTTTATGTCAGTTCATCTTCATAATCACTTTATCAGGCAGGTAGTTGCAATCAGTATCTCTAGTACATGAGAAAATTTAACTGCAAGAAGTTAAATAGTTTGCTCTAAAATCACACATTATGTAAGAATGGAAGCAAATACATGTCAAAATAAAGTTTCAGAATTTATTCATGATACCATTCAACATTATATCTTCAGATGTCTTCATTTATTTTACCTTGTATAAAATAGATAGAAGGCAATGAAATAAACATAGTCTATGATTTCATTTAATATGAATTTTAATATGAAGGAAAGCAACACTATCAATATCTAGATATGCAATGTTTTTTATAATATTTGTAATATTTTATGTTAATATTATCAAGATATCATTCTGTGGAATGTAAATATTTTGCGTATGCTCAGCTGAGGATTGAGTGTAAAAATTCTTTTTAAAAAAGGTTATCTGATTTTCCTTAACAAAACACTGTTTTCATGTGTGCACTTTATTTGTTTTCTTCCTAGTATTGCATCATCTTCATCATTAAGCTGGAGTTAACATTGCTAAGCCCTCCACAACATAATATGTCAGCAGCTGTGGTCTCCTAGGTACATAAGAGGTACATTTTTCAAACCATTGATTCTTTCATGTCAGGAAATTATTTGTAATTATCTTAGTAAATTTACCAGGTCAGCTACAGCATCATATTAATGTAACTATCTCATTCTACATGGGTACAACATGTCTTCAGAGCAAGTTCCCAGTGCTGGCTGCTGGCTGCTAGCTGACTAACTATGCCAGCTATAATTGCAACGTTTTAACCTTTCTTTATTTTTCTGTGTATTACCCAATACATAGAAATAATTTCTATGTATTACCCAAGCATTTAACTTGAAAAGCAGCTACTGAGAAATGTGAAATATTACTGTTGTTCCTACTTAAGAACATAACCTTATTGTTCTTCCTGAAAAATTATAGGAGAAAATTAAATATAATATTCTAGAGAAATCAGAAAATATTTAATGTAATGCTACTTTATAAAATGAAATGAGGACCACTTTTAAGTACTTAGTAATGTCCAGATCAAACTTAGATATATCTGCTAGAAGGCTAATTGTATCAAATCTTTGTCTAAGATTCTTTCCACTTTGCAATGCTCTTTTATGTGCTTAGATGATTCCATAGGGATCTCCACTCTGGAAGTTACAAAAGACGATACAGGAAAAAAAAAAAAAAGAAAGAAAGAAAAAAAGAAAAAGAAAAAAACTTTGCAACTACTGTAAAAAGTTGTTATGACCAGTCATTCACATTATTCACATCTTTGAATCTCTCAAACTTAGTTGAGCATAACGCCTATTCATTAAAAATACTTGCATCCTAAAAATGGATTTTATAAATGTTGAACACATACAAATACAATACAATACAATACATACATGGAAAACTTAGTAACATTACTTAGGAACACCTAAGAAATATGAATGGAATTTTGAATATAAAATTTAGAATAGTTACTTCAGGTTGAAGGGAAAGAAATATGGTCTTAGAGGCATATAGAGGAAGCTAGAATTAAATTATGAGGACAGTAAAAAGATGGAGCTGGAGTTGTAGCTCAGTGATAGAGCACTAACAAGCTTATAGCCTTAGGTCCGATCCTCAGCACCCCTTAAAAATAAATAAATAAACTAATAAAAATAAAGATACTGTGTCCATCTACAACTAAAATAAATAAATAAATGTACTGGACCAATTAAATAGACAATAAATATTTTAATCAAAAATATTTGATATTCTTAGATACTCTCCTTTATTTCAATAGAGGAGAACACTTCAACTTAATTTCTCTAAAACAAATGCTGGGGTGAGCTATAGGGAGAGTAACTAGAGGAGTAGGCTGAGAGGCCTAATAATGATTAGGCCCCCTGTGTTTGTAGACTCTCTCTGACTAAATTTAGACTCCTATTCTTCCTAGGACAAGACTAGAAGATAAATAAATCAGGGTGCAACACAAGAAGTATAATTCACTTTACGTATTTAAACAAAGAAAGCCTTCTAATGAGATTAGGTGCTTACAAAATAATTACAAGAAAGGGCTAAGAAGTAACTCTGTAAAGGTTAAATTTAAGTTTTGCTCTCCTGTTAAGTTTAAGCTTTGCTTTTCTGTAAGTTTAAGTTCTGTTTTCCTGGAACCCGAAACTTATGTTAAAAACAGTCACTTATGTCAAAATGTACCCTGACCCAACACCCCCTGACAAAACGCATGATTATTCTGTAATGGTTATTTTGTAACAATCCCACCCTCGCACCCTAACTGCCATATGAACTTCCCTGTTTAAACACTGCATAAAAACTCTGCTTAAGCTGTGCTCAGGGCTCCAGCTTCTCTCAGGAGAACTCTGAGCCCCAGCATGCTGGTCCAATAAACCCCTTTGCTTTTGCATGAGACAGTCTCTTGGTGGTCCTTTCCTCCGACGTTTGCCCGACCCTAACAACTCCAAGGACAGATAGGACTTTCTGGGAGGACTTTGCCCCTCAGCTAGAATGATGGGGTGACAAATAGTAATGTTGAGTTGGAGAACTCACTGTATAATCCAGGTGAGCCGTGATGCTGGGAAGTGTCCACTACAGTACCCCAGCTGCCCTGCCTGCCCTGGAGCTCATGACAGAACACCAACTGCCTGGTCTGGCTGCCACTTGTACTTGTGCTACATTTTAATATACATAAAGCCAGTGACCCACAGTGAGATCTTCTGCAGAAAACCACATATCTACATGACCTTCTTTACCACCAGAAACCACAGGAGCCTTCAGAATCCAGATATATTTATTATTAGTGAGACTCAATTATATTCATGACCTCAGCTTCATGAGCATCTAGAAATTGTAGCTTTTAACTTGCTTGCCACTGCAGTACAGGAAACCACAATAGACAGGATGGATGCTGAAAACCTGTCATACTCATCAAAAATAAAGAAATAACTAAAAAAGACAGGTGCTTATACTGCCATGAAGTGACATGATGGTGAGAAATAGAAAGAGAATAAGAGAATATAAATCAGACCAATGGATATCCATTGGGCAAGATTTAAAATTGTCCTGTGAAGCAGAGCTGAAGAAACACATTGTCCATTAAACCTCATATAAGTTTGATGGTCACCGTAATAGGGCAACCAAGTATTAAAAAATATTTTGGTAATTAAAAACAAGAAATAAAATATTTCATCAGCAATCCAAAAAAAGTGGTCAAATCATGATGACTACAAACTAACATTATTAATCTAATATCTGACACAAATTAGAAAATAAATAAATCCTGTTAGAACAATGACAAATAATTCAAGTAAAAAATAAACATGACTTTAGATTGAACATTATGATAAATATTATAGTGATACTTAAGTTTATGAATTAAAAAAACTTTAAATACATCTATATAAATAACTGGAAACATACTTTCATTCTATGTTATCCCAGAGCAGTTATATTAGATTGAGTTTGTTAATGAAATTAAAAGTCACTCTTTCAAATAATTTTATATTTTCTTTTAATTCCAGCCGTCTTCTCAGTGCCAAGTGATAAACCTACAATAATTCTTACTGGTTATTATATTATCTAGTAATTGGATAGCATAAATTAAAATTACTTTTTAGTATAATTTTAGAATATGAAGAATTGATTTTTATATTTAAGTTAATTTTAGAATATGAAGAATTGATTTTTATATTTAAGTCATCATGAAAATATAATCTTATAAACTCTTCTTTATGTCAACGATTATTTCACTTTTTATGGGCCTTGATTAAAAAGATAAATTGTTCTGTATGACTTCTGTTCTAAACACAGAATTCCCATTCCTAACTTTGTAATTGTGAGCACTGGTAACAGACATGATCTATGTTTCTGTTTCCTTGCCATTCGGACGAGGCAGCATTTCTGCTGCAAAAAGAATAATGCTGCTTTAAAGGCATGCTGTGTTTCTGCCGTCTACATCATCACTACAGACATCATTACACCCTCCTGGGTATAATTATTTGGGCCCAATGACTGCTCCAGGGATTCAGAACAACAATGGGTGCAGCAATCACATTTGCAGCACAGAGTCTGTTCCTCATCACTTTCTTATTGCTCACAGTGAGATGGCTCTGGCTGCACTTAGGAGTGTAAGTTAAGCATTGTTACGTAACAATGTCAATGGGACCATTTAGTCTAAAACACAACTTATGTCAATGCAACTTGAATCCCTGTATTGATACTTTAGTACAAATGAGTTCATAAACCATTCAGTTCATTATATACATACAAGATGAATTGTATATTCAGGACTGTCATAAGCGCTATTCAGGTTGTCTTTTCATGAAAATTTCATGTAAAGAGGAAGAGTGATGTCTGAAATCCAACCTGTAATCCACTTGTCATACATTGTACCTACTGGCTGGGAGGAAGGGACATAAGCAAATAGTTTGCCTACTTAGAGATACAGGACTGGTACAAACATGGCTCTGTCAGTGACTTTGCAACACTGGCTAACATCATAAATAATTTCCTTTTTTTTGTTTTCAGTCTGTGCTATAACTCCCAGAGGACCCATTATTGTACAACTTTTCTACTAGGATGTGTTAATACAAAACTAAATAACATTTAGAATGCCTTTTAGTCTACTTAGATCCAATTTAAATTTTAGTGTGTTCTACAGACACATCTGTTAAGAAAACAAGTATTTATTTTTTCAAAGTTTGATCTGTTCAGAATGTTTCAGGACTGCAGGAGTCATACAGCTGTTTAGATTAAAAGAGGGAAGAGAGAAGAAAGATAAAATTATAAATCTTAGGGCACAATAAACGAACCATTCAAGGTTATTGCCATGAAAGAAGAGAGAGATGTTTGATGAATATGTATAAATTTTGGCAATTGGCAACATGACGTAAAGTTAAGGAATATTTCCACAACTGACAGAAATAGAAAATAGCAATGATTTATGGTGCATAACTTAAAGACCTAAGAATGCCTAGCCAAAGTAGACTTCCATCTCACTATGTAAGATTAGCAAAATGGCATGAAAAAGATAAGACTCTAAAAAGAGTTATGAATATTATTTAAGGTTAGTGTTTTCCGTGGATGACAAGGAAAAGCAGATAAGCATCAACCAAGTGAATTAGACTTTGTGTCTTTGTATGACATCTGTGAAAATACAGATTCTCTGACAGAGCAGTGGAAAGATTTTGATTATAAAAGCTTTTAAAAAGAGAATCTGACATATCTGGGTGTGAGACCTTTTTGAAGAATTCTCACAGTTATTAGAATCCAGACTAAACCATAACACACTGTTGGATCTTATTGGAGAAGACTCCCTTTTAAATGGTTGTCATTTAGAACTCTTAATTGTAGGAAAAGCACTAAACATGAGACTGATTCTTGTAGCAAATTTTTAACTGTACAATATGTTGCTGTTAACTATACACATGGTTGCTGTACAGCAGATTTCTAGAATTTATTCGTCTCGCATAACTGAGACTTTATGGGGAGTTGTTATTCAGCAACATAACATTTTTTGGGAGAGATGAGAAGTATATAAATGCTAGGCTAGGCTTCCTGATTATGAATCTAGCTCTGCCACTAACATGTTCTGAGAAATTACTGAGTGGCTCTGGGACTGCTTTCTCTTTGATTAAATGAGACGGTAAAATGAGATACATTCTTCTCAAGGTTGTTATAAAAACCAGAGGAGTTATTGCATAAAGAATATCATGTTGGGGCTGGGGATGTGGCTCAAGTGGTAGTGCGCTCGCCTGGCATGCATGCAGCCCAGGTTCGATCCTCAGCACCACATACAAACAAAGATGTTGTGTCCGCCAAAAACTAAAAAATAAAATAATAATAATAATAAAAAGAACAGCATGCTGTGTACCAATACTGTTATTGCTATCATAATTATTATTTTATAAGCACTTCTATGTCAAAGTCTTCCCAAATTTGACTCCCAAAGTCTGAAATTCAAAATATAAGGAAAAAAGTGCTCAATGACAGAATTTGTAAGGAAATAAAATGTTATAATTAAAAGATATTGAAGAAAATGTTATAATTCTGTCAAAAACATTTTCTGTTGGGAGTGAGGAAAAATTTGATTTCAAAGGGGAACAAGAGTGTACTTGGGGAAAATGGTGGTAACTGACTGACTGACTGTGGTTGTTTTTATGCAACTTTATGTATTTGTCAAAAACATAGATAGGTAACCAGAGAGTACATTGTGTTATAGGAATAAATATACCCTGATAATATAGTCAACTATGACAGAGAAAACAAAGATAGATAAGATGTAAGGTGATCAATAGGATAAAGATTGTTTCTCAAATAACTTGGGAGAGAGGGTGAGTTGGCATGTTTAAGAGCCATGGCTGCTGACATCCACTTGAAGCAGGGACAGTGGTCTGCAGGAGGATGCACAACACTTTCCAAGAGTTTGTTTCATTTGTTTTTGCTCCTGCAAAAGGTAGTGAATATCTGCCTTAATTCAAAAAGATCAGCAACTTTTAACACCTAATAATACTGGAGGGTCTCATTTTAGGTCTTCTACTTTCTACTATGGAACTAGGAGGAATGCTTAAGCTTCATTTGAAGGCTGCAGCAATTTCAAAATGGCTTCATGCTTCTAAGTAAATCCAGAAGAAGTACGATTTTAACTTACAGCATCAAAACTAATCTAGAAGTGGTAATAACTTTAAGAACATGGAAAAATATGAAAGTATCAATTATATGTATTGATGGGTTAAAAACTACAATTTATGTAGAGGTTGCACTCAACTTCTTTTGGAGAATTATTTCCATTGCTTATGTTAACTGTCATAGGGATTTAAATGTTAAGACTATGATAAATATAGTTCTGCTTAAAAGAGATCAAACTATGGAAATGGCATTTATCCTTTGTATCAGAAAATTTAATGTTTCCTTCTTTTATTTCAAAAGTTAAAGTTTTATGTATAGGAGGCAACTTCAAAATTCCATGTGCACTTATTTCTAGATGTGTTATGTAACCAGATAAAATCTGGTACCAGTAATAAGTCAGAAATGAGTAGGAAAGTAAACAGATCTGGGCTCTCAGTGATTTCTAAACTTGGAAAATTCATGCAGGTGATATTCATTGACACATACTCACTATTTCCTACAGCTTCACATAAATCTTATAAGCACTAATTCCCACATGACTACCTGCATGTTTTTCTCTCAGTAGACTCAATATTAAACTCAGACCCATGGGGTATTCTGAAGTCTTCGATAGAATATAAAAAAATAGTGATATTTTTATATATCCAAAAATATACACCACATATAATACTTGTTGCTAAGGGAAATTCAGTCATTCAACATTACTTCTGGGTGGATGTACCTAAATGTTGAAGATGAGTGACAGAAGAATAGGAAAAGAGCAACAAACACGAACGTTTAAAGAAAAAAAAAGGAAGAGGGAAAAATGATAAATGTTTATGTCATTATATAGTTAAAGAGACTATGGATGCTTTAACAAAATGCCATAGACTAGATGGCTTATAAACTAAAGACAATGATTTTTCTGTTTTAGGGGCTAGGCAGTTTCCAAGATCAAATTGCTGGATGATTCAATGACCGGGGAGCCTGCTTCATGATTCTTAGGCCATGCTTTCTGCCTGTGCCCTAGAATAGTGGAGAGAGATTGCCAGCTCTCTGGGGACTCTTTTACGAGACCACTAATTCCATTCCTGAGAGATCTACTCTCTTTACCTAACCACCTCCCGCAAACACAACTGGTTAATAGTATCATATTGGTGATTATGTTTTACCATATGAATTTTAGAGGAATGCAAATATTTCAGATCATAGCAGCAATTATTCCTTGCATAAAAGCAGCTTATTGAGTTTGTCCATTTCTGTGCTGAAAATTATGAAAGAAATAATGTTGTCAATATCAATAAGCACTAACATTTATAAATGACTTGCTCTGTGCAGGAAATATTTGATATAAAGATCAAGAATCTGAAGCTTATATAAATTCAAAAAATCCATTCCTTCTGACAGCCTAAGTGATTGCTTTCCAGTGTCAGAACATTCATTTCACATTTTTTAAGCACAGGGATTGCTTAGAACCTGATTGGTAGTCAGTAAAACTATTGATGGAGTCTACTGTTAAAATTGTACTATGTACACATATACATCTGTATACTAACATACATATTAAATATTCATTCATTTTATACTTAATATTTTTAATAATTACCTTGTTGACATTTGCAAATGTATCCATTGATAAGATCTTCACAGATTGCCTCATGTAGACATGGTGATGAAGTACATTCATTTATATTATCTTCACAAAATTGACCAGAAAATCCAGGAAGGCATCTAAGGAAGAACAGTGAAAAGAAGAAAAATTTATATATTTATATATAGTATATGAGCAATATCTCCTGCAATTCTGTCATTCAAATATGTAAATAGTGATCTGTGTCACCATAGTATGATGCATAGAATTTTGAACCCCCCAAAACAGGTCCAAGTACTATGACCCTAGTAACTCTGAACATGATGCTATTTGGAAGAAGGATCTTTGCAGAGGTAATTAAGCATCTTGAGATGAGATCATCCTGTATTAATTCAGTGGGCTTTAAATCCAATGGTGAGTCCTTAGAAGAAGAGATACAGAGAAACACAAGGGAGGAGGCCATGTACAGATGGAGGCAGAGTAGAGGTATGTAGCCCCAAGTCAAGGAACACATAGACTGTCTAGGTGATAGAAGAATTTCTCCTAGAACCTTCAGAGGAAGTATAGCCTTTCCTACACTTTGAATCTGTATTTCAATTTTCACAATGGTGAGTAACCCAGTTTGATTTCTTTCTACCAAGCTTTCAGTAATATGACATTTTAATAATAATAATTCTGTTAATCAATGAATATGGGAGGTTTTTCCATCTTCCAGTATCTTCTTCATTTCTCTCGTCATTGTTCTGAATTTTTTACAACGAATGGTGGCTAAGATGCGGGTGAAGAGGAAACCTTACACATTATTGGTGGTAATATAAATTATACTATGGAAGTCAGGATGGAGATTCCTCAAAAGACTCAAAATAGTATACCACATATGATCTACCTATATCATAACTGGTGTATATCCAAAGGAATTAAAGTTATTGTAGTATAGAGATACCTGAATACCTATGTTTATTATGGCATAATTCACAATAACCAAGTTATGGAATTAGTCTAGGTACCTATCAACAGATGGACGGATAGAAAAAGTGTGGTAATACATACAATGAAGTATTATTCAGTCATAAAGAAAAATAAAATCATGCCATTTGCAGGAAAATGGGTGGAACTGGATATCCATATGTTAAGCAAAATAAGCCGGGCACACAGAAAGACAAATATAACATGTTTTCCCTCATTATGCCTAAATGTCAGACCCAAAACTTTGAAAATATAAGATGAAAAAAACACAATGAAAACAAGTCAAGACACAGGCATAGGCAACACCTTCCTGAATGGGACTCCAAAAGATCAGTAAATAATAGCAAAAACCAACAAATGGGGCTGCATCAAACTGAGAAGATTCTGCCAAACAAAGGAACCAACCGAGTAAGGAGAAAGCCCAAAGAACGGAGATCTTTTCCAGCTACTCTTCTGAAAGACCATTAATATCCAGAATATGTATTAAAAAAATAAAACAATTAACAAGACAAAAACATAAAAGAAAAAAAATCAATAGGCAAAAGAATCGAGCAGACATTTTTCTAAAGAAGTACAGCCTGGCAAGGTGGTAAAGCCCTGGGATCCCAACTACTTAGGAAGCTGAGGGAAGAGGGTATAAGTTCAAGGTCAGCCTCAGCAACTTAACAAGATCCTGTCTCCAAAGTAAAATAAAAATAAACGGGCTGGGGTTGTGACTCAGTGGTAAAACAATTGCCTAGCATGTGTGAGGCACTGGGTTTGATTCTCAGCACCACATATAAATATATGGCTAAAATAAAGAGATCCATCAACATCTACAAAAATTTAAAACAATAAAAATAAAATAATAAAGTTAGGGATGCAGTTCAATGGTAGAGCAATCCTAGGTTGAATCCCCAGCAACAGAAACAAACTAATAACCAAACAAAGTACAAGTGTTCAACATCTTCATCCATCAGGAAAATGCAAATCAAAACTGCATTGAGATGCTATCTCTCCCCAGTCAGAATATCATTCATAGAGCATATATGTTTCTACTGCTTTAAGGTATCAAGTTTGTGGTAATTACCTATGTCATCCCTAGGAAATCAATATATGAAATGACATTAATGCTATCATATTGCTGTCTTTAAAGAATAATTTATATAAATCACAAAAATGCCAGTTGTCAAATCACAGTCCTAGACCTGTTAGAGGATCCAGAAACACTGACTAAAATACAGTGTTAATAAGCAATATTCACACATTTACATAGTACCTATGCCATGACAGATCTGTTATGAATGCTTGGGATACACAGAAAAGTAAAGCTGAGTGTCTGTTTTCAAGAAACACATCCAGCCTAGTTAGAAAAATGGACAAATAGCAATTGTATTGATATGATGTATACTATAATCTGAATTTAGAGAGATGCATTCCAGGATGGCTAAGAGAATATGAAAAAGTGAGATTAAGAATAGTGTGAATCAACCCAGAAACTGCAAATAGAACTGAATAAATGAAAAATAGTGCAAGACCGGTCTTAATGGTGCTTGTGGTGCTTATTATATAAATTAATAAATAGGGGTTTGATTATTATATATTATTGGATCATAGTTTTTAGTATAGATAATATTTACTGAAAATTTATTTACAATAAATAACTTTACAAAGTTTACAAGACTACTAAATTACAAATGCAAACTTTAAAACCAGGAAGTATAAGTTTTTTCCACATACTGTAGTCATCATGTGTGAAATCAAGCAATTCTTTGATTTTGATGGATAATCGCAGAATACTTGCTTGGGTGATGTAAAAATTCAGTACTATGTTCCAATGCAACTGGTCCTACCCTGTCAAATCTAGGTAATTATTAAAGAATCAATTAGTGACCCTACTCTCCTAGACCCATTCTGAATGTGACTCTTTCCTGAGAATAAATCATAAGACTAATTTTAACTCTGTATGAATTTATGAGCTTATTGTGCAAAAAAGAGATGAAATCTTAAACACTGAATTGCCACTGTAATGGTGAACCTCCTTCTCTTTATAGTAAAATTGAATTAATGAGATTTGCCTTTCTGAGGCAAATTCATGACTCATTTTTTTTAATAATTTGTGTATGTGTGTGTGTGTGTGTGCTGTACCTTTAATATCATAAAGTTATCTAAATACATTTTCAATTTAGATACTTGCCAGCATTATATTAAATACCCATTGGTTCACATTCTTAATCTATCATCAGTGTTATTATCACTTTTAATTTCCACTGCTAAGGGAAAGACTACATACTTTATAGTGATTTTTAAGGAAGTCGTGTTAAAACTCATTGAATACACTTTTTATTTTGGAATAATTCTAGATTTACAGAAAATTTTCAATGGAAATATGAAAGTCCCATGTATTGCATACTCAATTTCTCTTATCACTATCATCTTACATTAATATTGTATACTTGCCACAAATAATTAAATGGTATTTGTTACATGTGATATAATAAAATATTAATATTATATAATAATCTAATAATGTTGCTATGTTATTATTAACTAAGTTCAATATATGACTGTGATTTTGCTTAGTTTTTTTTTAATCTAATATCCTTTTTGTTTTGTACTGAGGATTGAACCCAGGGGTGCTTAACCATTGACTTCCATCACTGTATCCCTAGCTTTTTTTTTTTTTTTTTTGAGGAAAGAATTCTAAGTTTCTGAAGCTTACCTCCAACTTGAGGTCCTGCTGCCACAGCAACCCAAATGGTTGGGATTATAGTCATACATCATCATAACTGGTTCTAATGATGTTTTGTTTAGTTTTTCCATTCCAGTATCCTATTAGAATACAGTGCAATCCGTTGCCATGTCTCCTTTGACTTCTCTAAACTCTAAGCTTCTCATAATTCCTTGACTTTCATTCCTCTACACTGCTCTACATTTTAGGCTTATTTGATATTCTCATGGTTATAGTGGTGTTATGTGTTTGCTATACATTTTTAGAATGGAAAGTAAATAATTTTAATGTGTGTGTGTAGTGGATATCTATAGAACTTTGAGTGGGATTGCATTGAACCTATAAATCAAGTTGGGAAGAAATGACATCTTAACATTATTGAGTCTTCCATATCATAAACAAGGAATATGTCTCTACTGACTAAGATCTTAGATTTTTCTCATCAGTATTTTGTAATTTTCCAAGAGTAGTTATTATACATGTTTTATAATATTTATATCTAAGTGTTTAACTTTTGGAAGACTGCTATTTTAAATGGAATTTTTTCTTTGCTTTTTTTCATATCAGTATTCCAATGTTCTTTGTTGGAAAGCTATTCACTTATATATTGATTTCATATCCTGAAAGCTTGCTACACAAGCTTTGTAGTTTGTTAAACCAAATAGTAGATTTATCAAATAATAGATTTCCTGAGGTATTCTACCGAGACAATTATTACATGTGTGAATAAAGATAACTCAATCTCTGTACCTTTTATTTCTTTTTCTTGTCTTATTAAGTGGGGCTTCTAGTAACATGTTTAATAGCATTAGGGAAAGAGAAGATCCTTGTCTTGTTCCTAATCTTATGGAGAAAGAGTTTAGTTTTTAATAATTAAGCATTATCAGTTGTATTTTTATATGTAGCTTTAATGGATTATGGTGGCTCCTTTTTTTTTCGAGGTTTTTGACAGTTTTTATCATGAGTGGGCATTGAATTTATCAAATGTTTTTTTTTTTTCATCAATTAATATAATCATATGTTTTTTATTCATCTGTTGATCTGATGATATAGTCATATTGACCAAATAATATATGGTATGCAAATGATTGATTTAATCATATTTTTATCTCAATCAACAGCTAGTCTAATGTATTGCACTGAATAATTTGTGAATATTAGATCAATCCTGATTTCCTGGCCTAGACTCCCCTTACTCAATCTAGGCATAAACACAGTCAATCTTATTATTTGCAAAGATCTTAAGATTTACTTTTTAATATTTTCGTGTTAGATTTTACTTTGTCATGTAAGTTAATATGATGTTTATATTCTTAGCTTGAATGGAGAAAACATTTTGAAAATCCTTATACAAACAGAAGTGCATACAAGTTTATAATCTTACATTCCACAAAAATATTTATAGCATGACATAACATATGGAAAAATTTAGCTATATATATTAATATCATATGCAGTTTAATC